GTTACGCAGTGACTTAGCGGCAGAGTTGGAACCTAGGAGTTTCATAGATTCTCAACAGGTCGTGGAGTCCAACCCCGGCCTGGGCAGGCAAGAGCCCTAGGGTCAGATGACCCCAGCCCAATGCCTATCGAGCCTTCTGTTAAAGACCCCCAAGGTAGGGGAGAGCACCACCTCCCCTGGAAGCACATTCCACATTTTGGCTACCCTTGCCATGAAGAAGTTTTTCTTGATGTCTAACCTAAATCTGCTCTCTGTCAGTTTGTGACCATTGTTCCTTGTTACCCCAAGAGGCGCCCTGTGATTCTCTGATGCCTTGCTGCACCCCACTAATGAATTTGTAGGCAGCCACAAGATCATCTCTCAGCCTTCTCTTACAGAGGCTGAAGAGGTCCAGATCCCTTAGTCTCTCCTCATAGGGCTTGGCCTGTAAACCCTTAACCATATGAGTGGCCCTCCTCTGGACCCTCTCGAGGTTATCCACATCCCTCTTAAAGTATGGCGCCCAAAACTGGATGCAGTGCTCCAGCTGCGGCCTGACCAATGCTGCATAGAGGGGAAGTATCACTTTCTTGGTTCTATTCATTGTGCATCTGCTGATGCATGATAAAGTGCAGTTAGCTTTGCTGGTGATTTTGTCACACTGACAACTCATGTTCATCTTGGAGTCCACTGTGAGTTCTTCTGCCTTGTCCTGTGCTGTTTCAATAATAGAACGATGTCCTTCCATAACAAAAAAAACTATCGTTAGCAGAACACAATCAAACTGACTGCCATTGCTTTAAATTCTACGTCGGGGAAATGCAGCAGTGGTGAAGAGAGTGGGACTGAAGTTAGCTAATGTCAGGTGAAAATTGAAAGGGTATAAAGTTTGCAGGTTATAGACTCCATTTTGAACCATTCAGTGGATCAGTCATCTCTGCTTTGCCTTTCTTTAGCTGCCACACATTATTCATACACTGAATAATGACTAGAACAAGCAAAATGGCTCACCTCTGTTTTCAACAAGGGAGATGGGGCAGCTGCCAGAATTACTAATCTTCAGCAAACAGCAACAGGAACTATCAGAGACACAACCTATAAAAGCCATCAAAACAGAAACTCATGGAAGAAACATTCTTCCTTTGCAGTCCTTCATCCAGACTCTGGGCACTAGATGCCAAAATGATCACTCCAGAAAATGTGCACTGGACACCAGTAATTTGTAGTGTGGGACGTTGCCAAGCAACACCTATCTGGCCTGCCCTTGGTGCACAACCATGGCTGCCTACATATACAGGTAGTTAGCCATGTTAGTCTGAAGTCAGGCAGAAGGCAGGGTAGCATAAGCTTTTGTTAGCAGCAGGTTACTTCATTTTACAGCATCTGATTAAGTACACCCACTGCTTATGAAAGCTTATGTTATGCAGCTCTGATTTAATTAGCCTGTAAAAAAGGTGGGCAAAATGATGGATTCAGCTGGGAGCCAGACTCCATTTCCCAGCAGCCGCTCCTTGTGAAGCTCCCAACCAATGTTCATGGAGACCCCAGGAACACGGGTCAGCGATCTGTTCCCTGCACGCCCGGCCCATGGAACCTGCTCTCGTCACAGGTTCCTGCCGCTCTGCCTTCTTCTGCGTCCAGGTCCGACCGGCTGTATGCAGCACCATGCCCAGCCCCTCTGCCTGAAAAGATTGACCTTTACAGTGACAGCCCCCACCACAGAAATACTGTTGTTTTGTCCAGGTGCCTGTCATGCGCACAGTGCTAACTAGGTCTGCATTATCGCAACGTGATCTACTCACACCTCTGCTGGAGGGTTTTTTTTGTCCTGTCTACATTGATAGGAGAGTACAGAAAGCCTTCTCTAATGCCCAGGTGTGGATAAGTGGAGCTGGGTTTCTCACAGCCTTGTGGTCACCTTGTGGCTTCTGGTTTTATCCAAAATCTAATTATTGCTGGTGGTTTGGGTTTTTTTCCCCAGCACAGGGAGAGAGAAGTTTTCCACAGATGCAGGGCCTGATTCTTGACTAGGCATCTTCATTTGCAGAAGAACAAAGGTAGGGTAAAATCCTACCATTATGAATTGGTTGCATCTCATGCACATTTTGCATAAGAGAAAATGACTGCAAGGTTCAAAGGAGTTGAGAATTAGATCCATGATGGAAACTTGCATGAGATGTACCCTTTGGAAGAGCTTACACTACCTGTACACCCTTGATGCTGAACTGCAGCCCCATGTGGTTGGCACATTTTTCCTTATGTTAGACTCAACCTAAACAAGAGAATTTCCATCTGATCCCCTTTAAAGAGGTGGATGTTGGGTGTTTGAGTTTCAGGTTCAAGACCTGTTACTTGTGTATAAAGGCTGAGGGTTCATGAGTCACAAAGGAGAACATATTTCAGCAAAAGCAGTTTCTAATAAACCCAAGCCCTCCTGCACCCCTCCGCCCTGCCCCAGGAATTGCACCAGAGTCAATCCTGGTATAAATGAAGTTCTAATGTTGGGTTTGATCCTATGCTTCTGAATGTGAACTTGGAAAAACTTTTCAGCAGAGTTCCATCGTGAGTAGGATCCCGGCTTTGATCTCTGAATGGGGAGGAGAAATGAGGGCCTTTCCCTATATTTGATGTGATCATTGTTCCTTGCCTAATTCCATGATGAATTTATGCCATTGGGCCCATTCTGTTGTTACAGCCTCAGCTGTGTTGTCTTAGCTTACTGGCACCTGCTGTAGCAGCAATTCATCTTTTCAGCTCCCCACCCACTGTTGTTCCAGGCAAAAGGGAACGCTAGCTCCCCTTAAATGAACATGTTGGTGTTCCTGGTTTAGTAACGCTATAAATAATAATTCCTTTAGGGGACTGAGCATATCCTGAGCAGTAAGATAACTTAACCTATACTTATACTAATCATGTCACCCACTGGCCTCGTGTCCAGACTTCAAAGGCATCATGAACTCAGCCTGATTATGAACTGTAAAGTGGTTTCAACTGATACCTAGCCACATGCCACCAACATGCTGCACCTGGTTTGGTGCATCTGGGAAATGCCTGTTCAAGGAAAGCCAACAAACAGCTAGAATGCTTTCAACTAGTCATTAACTTTATTCCTCTTCTAGCCGCTGGTCACTAAAGCAAAGAAAGCAGGGATAGGTGAAGTACAAGCACTCAGCAATATGTACCTATTACCAGGGGCCCCCTAAGACACCTGCTTTCAGCAAGGACACTTGTCAGGAAAGATATTTTCTGAGCCATCTCTCTCCCAGCGACAGACCTACGCCTTCCCTGCAGAGCTATGGGACTGGATGATGATATCTTTTTGGTCGTGATTTCAGTGCCTCCACACATGCTGGTGGACACCTCCAAGAGGGATCCCAGCTTGTAGCACAGAATATATTAGCTGTTCTCCTACTACATTTTTAAAACATGGGCTCCAACAGAGTCCGACTGAGGGGGAAGAGAAGCAGTAGTTTTGGGGCTGGACTCAGCACAGATGGGCAGGATGCTGGAAATGCTGAGGCCCAGCAGAGTTTCATCACTTGTGATGGTTTATTGCTGTTTTGATACGGGCAGTCACTTGATCGAGACTGATAAAGAACCTGGGTTTGTATTGAAATGATTTGACAATCAGCATTGCCATTGCTGTCCTGATTCTCATTGGGTCTGGACCTGAGCCAGCTATTTTGCATTTTAATTTTATGTTCCTAAGAGGGAAAAACAATCTGGCTTCCCTGTGCCAGTGACTGAACTGGGAGGGGCTGGGAGCTTGACTGGCTTATCTCACTGGTGCCAGAGTAAGCCAAACAAATTAGCTGCTGCCTGGTTTCTTTTGCCTCGAGAAGAGTGTATTCCTGCCTGTGAGGCAGACTGCCCCAGAAGTGACCCTCAAGAGCCTTCCTTCCCTTGTCACATGCCTACATGAATGCCAGACTCTGGGCAGGATGGGGCTGTGGGACTGCAGCTCCCCCGCGCGTCAGGAGCAGAGCGTAAGGCTCTTCAAAGGGACAGGAAGAAGGCAAAGCCATGAAATGTACTGGAGGTGGCAGGAAGAACCAGGAGGGTCCTGGAGCCAGAGCTATGAGGTATGACACCGCCCTGTGCTGCCCTGTACCCTGTATGCGTGTCTGAACACCGTAACCTAGCCCTTAGGTTTATGACATTCACCAGCACACATGTGCACGGCTCCCATAGAGCCACCCAGCTGTGCCTGAGCATAATCTAACCCTTAGTTTAGGTTTAGGTCTTGAGCTGCAAAGAGGACAGGAAAGAAGTGCCCCACTCCTGTCTTGGGCATTTAATAGATTCTGGCCTCAATGCTCTACCTTAGCCCAAGAGGCATTTTACTAATTTGTTGCCAGGGGCCTGCAAAGGGAACAAGCGCACATAAATCTTCATACTTTTAGTTAGTGGTGAATCAGATTCAAACCTCTAGACCCTTCCTTGCAAGCAGCAAGTGACCCTTTCCTGTTCAAGTAAGCACTGAAATCAGATGAAGAGGAGACCCCAGGGTAGGACAGTTCTCATTTACACTGCACTCTACCTTAGGCATCATTATTGTTTTGACAAAGAAATTCCCCCAACAGACACATTAGAGTCATTTATATCTTCCCAGTACAGAGGGCAACAGAGGGAAAAGCTTACCAGGATGTGCCTGAGGTGATGCTCTGCTGGGAGAGAAAGGGAGAAAAAAGTCCGGCACTGGTTCATTGCATGGCACGGTGTGAACCACAGCTCCAGTGCAGGAGAAACCCGAGAGGCAGAGAAGCTGTAGCAACTTCACCTGTAAAGAGATTCCCCTCTGTCCATATCAACAGGCAGAGAAATGACAAGCACAGGAAAGCTGCATCCTCAAGGCAAAGAAAGCCCCGTGCTTCACAGATGTGACCTCAGCAGGATTGTGTCCTATCGCACCCATTGCAACTGGGCTCAGGTACCAGAGAGCAGCAGGCCACCAGTCGTGTGGTGCCCTAACAAAGTGTGGCAGGCTCATTGATTTGGCCAGAAGCCGGTACTTGGCTTACCTTTGTCTTTCCTGAGCAGAGCTGGGCAGCGTGTCTTCTCCTTCCTGAGGCAACCGCACACAGCTGGAGTGTCCGATTGCAAGCAGGTCCGGGGAAGCCTTTAATCACTCTCTCCAGCTGTACAAAGGTAGACAGCGTGTCAGCGTATCTTAGCCAATCAGCTCCCCCGTGGGTGCTGCGGCTAGAATATTTTCAGCTGTCTTGAAACATGTGCCTGACACACCCCGGTGGCATATCTTGTCCTGTATGTTTATCTACAGGCAGGTTTCTTTATGTTCCTGCAATGACGCTTCTCTGCGGCACGCCAGTTAGTAGCAGTTCTGAACAGAAGGAAACCCCACCGTTTCTCTGACAGGTTTATGGAGACTAACAACCCCGTTCCTTGTCTGTGGCTTTCCTGTCTTTAAGGAGGTGGGTGACGGTGTGCCAGTGAGGGACTAACAGCACCACAGAGACCCAGGCACAGCGCGGGCAAGGGCTGGGCAAACTTCCAGCACACGGCTCTGCCAGCGTATCTAGGGGAACTGTCACAGCCTTTGTGGGCCGTGTTATTACAGCGCCCGCTGTTCTCACGCCCTTCCCACAGCTCTGCCGGTTTACATCAGTCCTGACCTGCAGCCTCCTCTGCTGCTTCAGTTCTTGGTCCCCTTCAGCAGATAACAAATTGTGCGGACAGCAGTTCACAGGCTGTGTTCGTCTAGGCCCCAGGATTTGTCCCAGGCCACTGGGCAGCCAAGAGTTGGGGAGCCCTGGAGCCTGAAGGACTAATCCTCAAAGGCAGCCTGACTCAGTGTCTCAGCAGGGCGATGCCGGCTTCCAGGGAACCAAGACTGGCCTGTTAATCATTACCCCTGCACTTCCTAGGAATTTCATTTGAGCCTGGCCTGTGACAAAGGGATGGGCTGGAACTCGGTGCCAGCTCTTCAGGAAGCACGCTCGAAGATAACACACCGGGTACCCCGGTAACATCACAACCACCAACCCTGGATAGGCACCTGGCTGGGGTCATCTGACCCCAGCACTCTTTGCTGCCCAGGGCAGAGGATCAGACTCCTTGATCTGTTGAGGTCCCTTCCAGCCCTAACATCTATGACTCTATGAACCCTTGGGGAAAGAAGAGGGAATAGTTTCCTTGTCTGAAAGCTGGAGGAGATCCAGGAGGAAGCAGCCGACCTCTTTGGTTCTGAACACAACAGTCCCTTTTAGTCTAGCGCTCTTGTACGGTTCAGTTGTTCACACATCTCTTCAAGACGGTCGCAAGGTCCTGTCATAGCTTAGCTCTTGACAGAGCCATGAGCTTTGTTTCCCTTTCCAAAAATCAGTTCCAACTATCTCACAAAACGGCCACAGCCCTCAAGAGGCAACGTTTGCTTTGTCTTCCCCTCCGTAAAAACCTTATTTTAGTTCTTCCACACTTCCTTGGTCTGCGGAAATTTTAGATCTGTTAAAACCATTGTATCTTTCTTGACCTTCTGGCTTCAAAATGCTGATCAGGGATGTTTGGCTGGTGGTGTTAACCAATCCAGCTGAGAGAGATAGGTAATTTGAGAGAAGTTATGAAAAAAGAAGAAAAACTGATCTGCTGTTTTCCCCGAAATGTGTGTTTATTCAATTGTAACTTAAAATTTAGAAACTCTCACATATTTGACACATGGTTATCATTCGCAAAGCAGCAAAGAGTCTCAAATAAATGTGCCAGGGTATGTAATAGGCAGGACAGATACACCCCTCATCACAGCAGAATGCACCATGAGCCTGGACGGGAGAGGGAGAGAGGCCAAAGGAACTGATTATGAATGTCATTGAAATTTGTCTTTTGTGGAGAAAAATGTTGTTGGACGGGGCAAACTGCTGGCTCAGTATTGAAGTACAACTGACATCCACAGAGGGAGAAGCCCCTGTTTTCAAAAGTCTCACACCAGCAGTAGGCAACTTGTGGCACCTGTGATGTATGAGGCTCAAAATCAGAGACCACATTTTTGGAAATTTGTGAATAAAGCGTTTGAAAGTCTCTTCACAGGCCCAGTCCATCATCACTTTTAAGATGAAAGTGGGATGGGGCA